CTCCCATAGTAAGACTATCAGTACCCCAGTAGCAAGGTAGGAATTGATATTCACAAAGAAATACCTAAGGTAAAAGGTTCTATGCTGTTATTTTCCTGCCAGGGCTGGTCACAGGTCCCATATTTCTACAGATATTTTTGATACATTGAAATCTTCTGTGTCCCAATATCCATGTGATAAATAATTTACATTATAGAGACCCCTTTCATTCTCTACAATACTCAAGTGTTTAGCTTTTCAAGATACATAATAGGTGATATATGCTGTCTTCAAAACACAAGAATCCAAATAATGATATGCTTCTTTTCTCCTGTAGGGTAGCACAAGTAACAACAACTTGCCAACACCTTCAGCTATCCCAACATGCCTCGGAATATCAGACCCTTAAAAATGAACTTTTGTAGTATTTATGTTCCACCTATGACTTACTACTTCATATTAATCAAAATCTGTTGCACTGTGTCTTCAGTGCCCTGGAAGTCATGATGCCTTATGGAATATAAAAATGATCAAGGACTTAAAAGGTCAGAAAATGAGTTTCAACACATCACTGGATCTGTGTGCCAGAGATACTTTCAGTTACCTGTAAAAAAAAAAAGCTGACTCAGGCGCTAGAAAGGTGGCTTAGCAATTAAGAACACTGGCTGGAGACTGATTGCTGATGGGTGAGGGAGAGTATGCCTTACATATGGTCTCTAGATGGGCCGACTAGACTCCAGTGGATGAATTTACACTGAAGGACATTTGGGTATAAATGCCTGAATGGATAGGACTTAACATGTATAGAGGAACACATGAGGTCCAGTGGGGGAATGGAGGAGGCCTGAATGGGGAAAGGGGTCTAAATTTGATTATGAACTGTTGTATAAAATTACAAAAGCTCAAAATGTATTTTTTTAAATGATCAAGGATTCTCAGGACTCTATTACAAGAAATTGCAGGGCAGTTGATATAGTCCGAGGGCAAATCATAAGCTAATATTGCTCTTGTATTTTAGAAGCAAACTAATTCTGAATTTTTTTGCTGAATGGAATATAAAGAAAACATTTGCCAAGTCAGTAGCTACATACCAAGTTCCACACTGGAAGAAATCTAAAACTAATAATGCCACTTGAATGACCTGAAATAATTCACTGTAATACCCCATGACCTTTCGCACCACCTAAACAGAAGGATTAAATGCAGAGATGGCAGGACACGTTTCCCATCAGTAACACTAATCTCTTTAATACCTTCTGTAAGACAACTGTCTTGTTGGGAATAATTAAGAAGGAGTATAGTTCTAGAGGCTTCCTTCCAGTTGACACTTCATATCATAGGCTTCAACTAACTAATATAGAAATCATTGTGGGATCCTGCCAGTTAGCGGTTATAACTATTCTTACTAAATACTCAGAGGCTGAGAAAATAACTATATGATAGGCTCATTGTATCCATTGTTAAGTAGATGTGAATTGTGAAATCATCTTCGATCATCTGACTTTTATAGGCATTGATTAATAAACTAAAAATGCTTTTCAGAGTCTAAACCAGTATGTAATAATTTCCCAGAAAATTGAACTATCTCTCCTCATTTACTATACCCTATATAGTTTCCTTAGTAAACAGCCTCAAGTCCTTCCAGAGAAGGCTTAGGGAAACGTTCATGATATACACATGTGGTGACATTGCAAGGTCCTTCTGCACAGAGATCTAGTATCATTCCAACTGAGGGGCTCCAGGTCTAGAAGTTAAATAAGAATCTCACTGTGACAACTTGAATTAGGCTCAACAATCCAAAAACTCTCAAGTAAGTAGCTTCCTAACAGAATGATCATCTCTTT